AAAACTGGAAGTCTTATTTCTCAATGCCCATTCAGGGTCTGAGTAGAAGTGAAATCAGGGTTACACACTCCAGGGTCATGAAAATTGATGCATCATAAACACAGGAAGATCTGCAACTGCTTCTCATACTATGGTAAATTAGTTCTGTATCTCAAGCAGGTAACACGTTAAGGGTCACTCAACTTTCTGTGTTGAACACTATATAGTCAAGTAACAACAGATGGGTGGGCTGTTTAGAATCATGGAAGAAATCGTCTTTATCTGAAAAACCCAAGGATAGTATTCTCTCCAAAGTGGAAACTTAACCACAAAGGCACAGTACAGGGGTTTTGGAAGCTGACTAGGTCTTACGAGCTCTGTTCACAGATGAAATTAGCACCTTATGAAAGTGCTAGAAGAAATTAACTAGGCCTCTTCCTGCTCTTCCACTATCTTCCCTGTGAGGACACAGAAAAAGGCAGAGAAACTACAAGGAGGGCTGGGGATGAGCCAGGGCCAACCTTCAAGTCTGGTTACTGGGCCTGAGTTAATAGCTCTTTTGATGCATGTTGATCAAGTAAGCTAGTAAGCCCCACAATGCTAACAATGGCCTTGACTTAGAAGTCAAGGGGCTCTGCCTCAGGAGCTCTGCTCTGGTGAAGGAGACACACAAACTAACAGTCTCTTAGGGATGTAAATGTGGACAAAGTTATGAAAGAAGCCAAAATGGCCAGGGAAGCAGGAATCTGAGCCTCGGTGAAGGACTTCAGGCAAGGAGCAGGAGCACAGGCAGGGAGCCTACCTTGGCATTTCCTCTCCGAGAATGCATTTAAGCTTGAATTGCACTCAGAATTCCAAGAACAACTTGCTGGCCATGTCGCCCAACACTCACCGCTACCCAGGTCCACAAACAGATCATCCTCGGTCATCTTGATTTCATCAATCATCTGGGCCACCAGGTCAAAGGAGGTCTCCCCATATACTTCCGGGGAAAAGGGTTCATAATTGTTAAGTTTTTCAGGGTCAGTCACTGAGTGGTTGTAGACCTGCTGCAGTATGTGCCGGAGGAGCCCATTGGATGGCCGTGTATTTAGCTTCATGGGCTGAGTAGTGCCCTTCCACTAGGAACACAGCAACATGGACATGTCACACACCACAGGCAGCTAGCAGCACCACTCAAGACCCAACTGAAAACAACAACAATGCAAGCCTGACTGTGGTAGAGCTCTTGCCTAGAAGAATACACAAGATTCCAGGTTCCATCCCCAGTATCACAAAGTGTAAATGCATGTGTGCCTCTGTGTGTGTGTTTGAGTATGTAACATGCACTCAACTTTTCTCACTTCAATCAGCAGCTAAAGAAATGCCCACTTCTGTCTTCCCTCCCTCAATTCCAATTTACGCCCTCACCTTCCACTCATCCCAGAATATGCTCAGGTCCTGAAAGTCCTTTCTTGCCACCAAACTCCCATGCAGGAACACTGGTATCATATCCTAACTCAGGATAAACCTCCTTGCACAACAGTGGCTGGCCATGTGCACTTATGCTCTCTGGCCTCAAAATGGCTGTTTTTAACCAAGTTTGATTAGACTTCAGGTGCCTAAGCTCAACTCTCAAAAGCCTCACCCCTGCACCAAGAACCATATGAAAACTCCAAACCCCAAACTCACTTAACTGACTCAACTATCTTCCCCAGGTCAAGAACAGTGGTGAGCTGGAGATGTGGCTCATTAGTAAAAGCCCCAACCCAATCTCCTCCCCAATTTTCTTAACAGAAAATCTAAAATAAAAAATTCTACGTCAGGTGCTGGTGGCTCATATCTGTAATCCTAGCTACTCAGAAGATTGAAATCTGAGGATTGCAGTTTGAAGCCAGCCTGGGTAGGAAAGTCAGTGAGACTATTATTTCCAATTAACCACCAAAAAACTAGAAGTGGAGCTATGGCTCAAAGTAGTAGAGCATTAGCCTTGAACAGAAAAGCTGAGATAGTACCTAGGTCCTGAATTCAAGCCCCACTACTGACATAAATACATACACACGTACATGTGTACATACATTCTATGACTGAAAAAAGAAATAAGAGAAAACATGATTAAAACACATAGGCTGGGAATGTGGCTCAGTGGAAGAGTGCTTCCCTATCATGCATAAAGCCCTGGGTTCAATTCCTCAGTACCACATAAACAGAAAAAGCCAGAAGTGGCAGAGTGCTGGCCTTGACCAAAAGCAGCTCAGGGACAGTGCCCAGGCTCTGAGCTCAAGCCCCATGGCTGGAAAAAAAAAAAATCAGATGCCAGTAGCTTATGCCCATAATGTGTTCAGGAGTCTGAATAGGATCACAGAAGTTAACCTAGTCAGAATATAACTGACCAAAAAAGCTGAATTCAAGATGTAGCTCAAGTAGTACAGCATGCAGCATGGAGTTATGAGTTCAAACATTGGTATTATAAAAAAATAAGTAAGAGGCTGGGAAGGTGGTTCAATGGTAGAATGCCTGCTTTGCATGCATGAGGCACTAGGTTTGATTCCTCAGCACCACATAAAGTAGAAAAAGCCATAAGTGGTGCTGTGGATCAAGTGGTAGAGCACTAGCCTTGAGCTGAAGAGATGAGGGTCAGTGCTCAGGCCCAGAGTTCAGAGTTCAGGCCCCACCACTGACCCTCTCCCCTCCCCCCCAAAAAACTAACTAAATAAATAAAAACAGAATAGTGATGATGTGGGGAATATCAACACATGTCATTAACATATGATATGCAGGTCACTAGACCTAAGATCATCTTATACTTATGACTTAGGAGAGACCCTCCAGGCCTGACTTAGGAATGCCTTCCAGTGCCTCATCCCTAGTCTCTTCTACTGGCCTTGGCACTTTCTAGAAAGCAGACCATGCTTGGACATAGGATATAAGCACTCTGCAACTATGTTCTTAGCTTATCTGCTGAATCAGGTGAGGGTGAAATGAGATCTGGGATAGGTGGACCAGGCTGAAGTTAGTGTGGATGGGGGCTACATGTTGTAGGCCAGTTGCAGGACAGGAAAAAGACACAGGTGTGTGTGTGTTTGTGTGTGTATATGTGTGTACACAATTATGTTGTAGGCCAGTTGCAGGACAGGAAAAAGACACAGGTGTGTGTGTGTGTGTGTGTGTGTACACAATTATCCTCTATAGTCAGCTTGCTCTTGACTGTTGCTGCCTGACCCCCAGTCATCCTGCCAGTCCTTTCTCTCCACCCACTGGCCAGCAGGAGTCCAAATGGCTATCTGAAGGGCCCAGGAGCCAGTACTATACAGACCCTCATGGAGCAGAGGGGGCAGGAATGTGTTTTGCAGCCACCTACCAGCTGGTGGATGCTGTCAATAGCCCGGTTGTACTTGTCACATAGCCGCTGCATACTTTCAAAGCTGTAAAAGAAAAGGAGGGTCCAATCACAGAAGCCAGAATACACCAGGTTTCACGGACTAGCAGGAATCCCTGAGTACAATACCTGTGCCTCAAAAGTAATTTGAGGGGCTGGGAAGTTGGCTGAGGGTAGAGTGCTTGCCTTGCATGCATGAGGCTCTGGGTTCGATTCCTCAGTACCACATAAGCAGAAAAACTGGAAGTGGTACTATAGCTCAAGTGGTAGGGCACTAGCCTTGAGCTGAAGAGCTAAGGGACAGTGCCCAGGCCCAGAGTTCAGGCTCCAGGACCAACAACAACAAAAAAAAGTAAATCTGAGACATGTTTGAGCCCTAAGTCAAATCCAAGGTCAAGTTGTACTCAACAAATATCAGTCAAGCCAGGCACCTCAAGTCCATAATTTGAAACTATTCAGAAAGCTGAGATCTGAAAATAATGGTTTGAAGCCAGCCCAAAGCAGGAAAGTCTATGAGACTCTTTGTTGCTGTTGTTGTTGTTGTTGGCTGTGGGGCCTGAACTCTGGGCCTGGGTGCTGTCCCTCAGCTTTTCAGCTCAAGGCAAGCGCTCTACCACTAAGCCACCTTCCTAGCCCCTCTAAGAGACTCTTATCTCCAATTAATCACAAAAAAGTTAAAGTAGAACTGTGTTCAAATGGTAAAGTACAGCCTTGAGCAAAAACAAAATAAGCTAGGACATGAGGCCTTTAGTTCAAGCCACAGTATAAAAAATAAATAAAAACTCCATTTCTACCCAAAGTTGCTAGTCCTTGTGAAGGTCCTGAGTGGCAGGAGTGTGTTCCATTTGGATAAGGCCACTTTGGGCTCCTGACTGGCTTTGGTTAGCACAAAGCTCAAGCCCTGACTATAAGGGTGGCACTGCCAAACCTCTATCCTTGGAAGAGGGGCAAGGTTGGAGATCAAAGTAACACATGTGGCTGGGAAAGTGGCTTAGTGGTAGAGTGCTTTCTTTACCGTGCATGAAGTCCGGAGTTCGATTCCTCAGTACCACATAAGCAGAAAAGGGCAGATATGGTACGGTGGCTCAACTGGTAGAACACTAGCCTTGAGCAAAAGCTCAGGGACAGAGCTCAGGCCCTAAGTTCAAGCCCCAGGACTGGA